ATTTGCTCCTGTATGTGTTTGTCCTCGGTGTGTTTCTACACTATATGTGTGCAGATTCAATGCAAGTGCTGTTTGTGTGTGTTTGTCACTTTATCATTTGTGTGTGTGTGTGTGTTGTTTGTGTACACTCATCATGTGTATAGCGTTACATTTTGTAGACTAAACGTCCTTCGTTGTAAACAGAGTTTTAGTGAGAATCCTTCATTTATAAGAAGCTCGGGAATGCATTATGTCATCGAGTGTCCTTAAAGTAGTTTATAGAAGTACAGATACGTGTGGCACACACACACACACACACACACACACCGAGGCAAATATAAGTGTGTAGTTACAGTAGCCTGTGAGTCACACTGCCAGCCTGTCCTCCATGACAGTTAATGAGCTGTCGCCTCTTCCTCCTTTCCATCTTTCTCTGCTTCACCCACGTCTTCTGTCTTTATTGGAAAGCTATAAAGCAAACCCGTCTCTCTCTCTCTCTCTCTCTCTCTCTCTCTGGGTGGTTATTAAACAAACTGCTGTGGCAGAAAAGAGGGGGAGAAGCAGAAGGAGGAGGTTTATGGGGGGAGGGGGGGTATTAGCTTCTCCTCCTTTTTCTTTGCATCACGTGCTGCGAGGGACGTCAAACGAAGACAAATTATGATATCCCTCTGCTCGCCTCCCGCCTGCCGCGGAGCGAGAGAGACTTTGAAGGGAGGATTTTGAACAAAGCCAGGATGCAGGGGAAATGTGTCAGAGGACTTGAGTTCGGCCCGAAGAAGCCATTCTGAGAGAAAAAGAAAAAAACACAGTGATAATGTAACACCAGCTGGTTTATGGATAAACCCTCTGATGTACTCAGACATATCAGAGCTTGTGCTCACCGGGTTTGTCGAGCCCATATACATCACACAGACGCAGTCAGGCGGTGTACCGAGGTGATTATGTACCAAGAAGCTTCTAGAGCACATTTATCTCCAAGGGCGTCTACACCAGGCAGCAAACCTCCAGGTCTGAAAATGAAAGCTAAAGCTTCACGTGTTAAAGCTGCATTCTCTCTAGTGTCCACCAGGGGGCGACTCCTCTGGTTGTATAGAAGTCTATGAGAAAATGACTCTACTTCTCTCTTGATTTATTACCTCAGTAAACATTGTAAACATGAGTTTATGGTCTCAATCTCTAGTTTCAAGTCTTCTTCAATACAGCATGATGTTCATTTAGTACATTATGGTCCATTTAGAGTCAAACAGACCATAAAGCAGGGGATGCTTTAGGGCGGGGCTACACAGTGATTGACAGGTCTCTACCGCGGCGTTGTCTGGTCTCGGAGTTTTCCGTGTTTTCGTCTTACAACTTCAAACCTTTTGTGTTTTCACTTCATGAAAGTGAAAACTGGGCTGCCTAAAAAATGTCCTATTCAGCATTTGGTTGTATTTAGCTCCACCCTCTCGTGTCACTTCTTTTTTGGGTTCTTTTGCAGTTTTAGGCAGCCGTTGTCAAGGCTGACATGATAGTTAGACATCCGAAGATTTACACGCCCTCAGTTTCTCTTCATAATGCACGCTTGGTTATCACCATTAGGTTTCCATAGTTCTTTTAGTTCTAGCATCAGTTGTCTTTCACCTTTGAGGTAATTGAACCTCTGATCTTGGCAGTTTAAGTGTCTCACTGTGTTCATCCAGATACAGTCAACAACTATTCGTCTTTAGCTTCTGTGGAACAAACTCATTTCATCTGCAGAGAGTTTCCATGTAAAAGCAAACCTGGTTGATTTAATATCTGAACTTTTGTTTCCCCCTTCCATCGTTATTACCTCACGCAGTCCTGTGAGTAATCTATTGTTTGTTCTAATTAGATGCTATACATGTAAGTCACGTATAGGGAGCGACCGCCTCCGGCTACTTTTAATGATTTTTCCCCCTCTCAGCCGTGCATCTTCAACCCTATGATTCTTCTCTGTGGCTTAACCACAGTTGCATGCTCGTGTGTGTGTGTGTGTGTGTGTGTGTGTGTGTGTGTGTGTGTGTGTGTGTGTGTGTGTGTGAATGACTCTCAGATAATATTCCTCCCCAGTGGCCTCCAGCAGTCCTCAGACTGTGACAGGGAGAGTAATTGGCCATCAAAGTAATCCAGACCCCTTGCTTCATTCCCCGCTAGCCGCTGGCGAGTGGAATTAGACACTGAATTTAACCAGGGACATTAAACGCAACCTCTGTGTCCAAGTTGTGTGTGTGTGTGTGTGTTTGACCTTAACTTACGTGAACATGAATGAGAGTATGACTGCGATGCAGCCTCTTGACTTTTCAAAAATACACTCAATACTAAATACCATTTTGTAACACACGATGTCTGATGAAGAATGCATTAAATATAACACGATTACAGCGATCACATTACAAAAAAGTTAGCTAAAAATGTAATACTGCGATGTAATTATTTCTCAGACAAAGACCCAGACATTGCCTTTTTGTCTACATATCTCAATACATTTATAAACACGAAAAAGTGTAGAGTTGCATTTTAAGACTGGCCTGCTTGTATAAGAGTTATTATGATGAAGCATTAATGAATCCCTGCAAACAGTGGATTAAGTGTGTTTTACATAAATGGATGAGAAAACACTTTGTGAGTGTTTTTTTAGTCGCTGCTCATTATGCATTATGCCCTTTAACATTTAAAGTGCTGAGAAGGAGGGAAAACAACACCCAGGAGTACCGAGATGTGTTCTGGGCGAGGTTGGAGAAAATTTATTTTCGAAAAAGACGTCAACAGGTGGAGACATTTTCAATACCTTTCACTTCAAAACCTTTTACATAATTAAGTAAAAAGGTGTTCACGGTGTTTTCCAAACTTCCCTTGGTTCCGTACATTGCTTTGAAGTTCTCCTCAGTAAAACAGCTACTGTAAGGGAAGTGAGCCAAGAGTACTGGTTGTCTCTGTCATCATCTAACCAGCGAGCACCTGGATGACAAGAGTTTACAGGTAACGCAATGTGATTTAAAGTCAATATGATGTCCGCTGGCTGACAGAGGTGAGAGCCCGGCTGCCTGTCTGGCCGTCCTCCTCCTCACGGCAACTCCACTCCTGCCGCCAAGTAATCGCATTTGTGTTTGTACAACCTGGTAATGCAGCGAATCGATGGAGCGGCCACAAAAGGTCCCGAATGCTATTTACTTCCACTTTGATTCGTCTGAAAACAACCTTGAAAGCAGCATCTCATCTCTGACAGGAGAGTGAGGAGGGTGGGACTCTTTCTTGTCATTATAAATTCCCTTGATATGACACTGATGTGAAGTTGAGTTTCTCCTCTCTGGTGTTCTTTTGTTGTAATGAGACGTTTACAGCGACTCTTGAACAAACTGCTGTTGTGAGGCGGTCGGACATCGCCGGAGTATTTAAGTCTGGAGCAGAGTGTCACTCTCTTTCACTCTGTTTACTTCCTGCCGTCTGTCATCGACTCACTTCAGCTTCAGTCTTCTCTGCTGCTTAAATATCCGCTCACATGTGGACGGAAACACAGCAAAACACAACTTACCTCAGGTCAGATAAGAAATACAATAAAAGGAAAACTGATCTGAAAGAATGCAACAAATTAGAAAGAAACACCGTCAAGTCACTGTGGTTTTTGGTTTGAATCTGTTCCAACCCGAATTTTCAAAAGCCTGTATCTCGCCTCGGAGGGGAGGATTTCAAGAACCCTGATTTAATACATTTTTATAAAGCAATTGAAATATGTCTGGTGCTCATGGATGGATCTTTACAAGCTAATCAGAGTTTTGTAGTCAGGGTTAAGAAAGGGATGTTAAAGCCAGAAAAAGGCACAAGCATGGATGAGATTGACGTAGTGATACATCTTAGAGCTGCATTAATCAGCATCTTTATATCAGGAATAGATTAAATGATTGTGTCTGATATGAAAGGGGCCAGAGAGAAATATAACCAGCTCTGCAGTTCCTCGCAGCTCTATGTATTCGTGGTTGTGTTTTCAGATGAACCCACTGTGCACTAGCTGCCCAGCTTCAACGTGCAGACAAACAAAGTCAGAGACTGGCTGGGGGAGACCTTTAACTATTTGTCTACAGAGTTGGTAGAGACCAAACCAGAGCTTAAAGAAAAAGATGATATTTATCAGATGGACACACCCGAATGTGCACCCTGTCTCCCGAAACTAGCGTTCCCATACGGTGAAACTGCATTGTGAAATAAGGTTTGAGGGAAATGTATTTCGTCGTGAATTAAGTCCGCTTTTGCCGTTTCACAAATGAGTCAGGAGAGGTCATCGTGGTGGACGGGTAAAACAACCCACAGGGCTTTCACCCAGGAGACTGCCGTTTGTGTCCCATATGAACCAAGTACTTTTGTTGCGTTTTTTGTCTTGTTTCATTGTACAATGTTAACCTTATGTTTCACATTGTTTGAAACTGCAAACACAATCTTTACCATAACTTCTTCACTATCTTAACCGTAATTTAGTTGTATGGGAACGTAATTTGCAGGGGACAGGGTTTTTATTAAAATGTTATCTGTGTAATTGGATGTCTAATTAGGCAACAGTTTGCTAACATGTTCACTCTAACTATTACATGAGGTGATAATATGTCAGTGTTGTGTTTACAGCTTCCCCTAAGTGGCAAAAAAGCAAATCAACGTAGCTTGAAATTGATATATATTTCTGCTGTCGATGTGAACTGCTCCTTTCAACCAGCAGAGCAAACTAACCCGTCTTCACCACATCACACGTCCAACACAAACACAATGTCACACTGATTAATGAAGTGAAAACAAGCTGCCAGTTCAGACTAGATGTCAAGTCCAGGAATGATTCTGTGATGATAAAACCGGCATAACTTCCTCTCAATGCTATCAACATTAAAGCTCTGCAGAAAATGTGATCTGTGTTTGGTTTCAACTTCTTGCTGCGGTTTATTTGTGTAAAAACGTTTTATGTCATGAAGGTTATTAAAAACGCTTTCTGATGAAATCTCACTGCTCCGTCTCTTTCCCTCTCTTTTCCCTCTCTGCAGGTCCGCCGGTGAACGTCACCTGCAACATTTTTATCAACAGTTTTGGGTCCATCGCTGAAACAACAATGGTGAGCTCCATTATTCTGAATATGACTTTGTAATACAGCTCAATGTGTCGATTTTGATGTTATTTATATGCCATACAGTTTCATTTTTACTTCCTTTGAAAATCAAAAGCCTTCTGTCCGCTGAGTGTTTAGAAATGCCTCCGCCTCATTGAGCGTGTCTCCCATTTCAAACACTTCATTTGAAGGAGAGCATCACTGCCGCGACCATTTGCACGGCGCTGCTGCTGTCGTGCCTGTTTGCAAGCAATGAGGGGAAATGTACACTCATTCATTACACAGAAAATCCATTAGTGTTAATATAACTGAACCATCAGCGGTCACAGAGCAACAAGGCCCAAAGCAGATGTGGTGACACTGAACTGTAATGTGTGTGTGTGTGTGTGTGTGTGTGTGTGTGTGTGTGTGTGTGTTTGCATGTGTGTGATCTCAGCAGCCACAGCATCCATGAATGTTGCTTAAAAAAAGAACACACTCTGCTCTCTAACTTTCATAAAACACATGAATCATGTTTTCAAAACCAAATGCATTAAGAATGTGAACTGTGAACTGTATAAACACTCTGCAGAGTCGCAGCAAACATTAAAGACACGGAGGTCATGTGATCGGTGGTGTTTCTGGAAATCAGTCTGGTCTACAACCGTGTGTAAAGATACACAAAAAAATACACGTGGTTAACGTCGTAACACGTAGTTAACTTCGTAACACGTGGTTAACGTCGTAACAC